ATCATACATATGGAGGAGAATCTCTCTTTATATCATACATGTGTTATTTATATTCAATTGATCAAATTCACAATCTGGACAAGATACTGACCTCTCTCCTTAAAGATATCACTTCTACTCATAAAGAACCAGCTAGAGGAGGACCCACCACTCCTGACATTCATCTACAACAAGCTCCTTTCTGTTTTTTCCAGACAAAATTCTATAAACAATTCTTACTCCGAACTAGGAACTATACCACCACACCTCTGTAATCACATTTCATATCTCTCCTTCCCTTCAGGATGATCCATCTACCATGTCTCAGGAATTGCAGGACATTCTCTTACTTTCTCAGGAAGACTCCCTTCTGCATATGGCATAAATATGCCTCTTGTAGCAGCTACACTGGCGAGTTCACTGTCATTTTCAGAGACTATTCACAAGTTCCCAGAAAGGCTCCTATTTGCTATCGATTTCAGCTTTTGTCTTGTTACTCTTGGAATATTTTTCTTATGTGGAATCACTACCTATTTATATCTTCCCACTAACTGGACAGGAACATGCACCCTGGTATATCTGGCCCCAGATATTTCTATTGCTCTTAACATTCAGACACTCCCTGTCTCACTAATTCAAAACCTGCAGGAATTAATAGACACCTGTTGCTCTGGCTAAGCCATGAGAAAATCACCATGGGAAAAGTATAAAAGCAAAATACAAAAATACAGTATAACCCAAATAAAAGTACATTGGGTATATTAGTTGGAGTCATCATGCCCTGCTAAATTAAGGGAAAACATAGTGTGGATCTGGGTCAGCTCAAGTTCAGAACACTGCTTGTGCACACACCAAGATGTTTTCCCAAGGCATATGCAGGTTTATGACCTCCAGCTAGGTGATATCCCTTGTACAAGACAATAATAAAGACAGTTTGAAGTAACCAATAAAATGGGAGACATGACCAGGGACAGAGGAGCCTGACTCCATCATAGCACGACAAATACTTTCTGTTTGCCAATACACTAAATAACAGGAATGTGGATCTGAGGAACAGGTCTCTTGATTCAAGAGGTCTTGAGTCCCCTGGTCCCATCTTTAAAACCTTAGTTCTGTCTCTAGTTTCTTTTTCCCAAACTGTGTGTCAATCATTTTCTATCACTACCTGCTGCTCTGGCCGCAGCAATAACTGAACCAGAGGGGCAATTCAATTCTTTATTAATCAGTTTAGGAATAGTTGCTAGGATTGGGACAGGACCACAGGACCCACACTTCTTTAAATTACTATCAAAGCCTTTCTAAGGACCTCACTGACAGCCTAGAAGAGAAAACTACCAGCCTTATTACTATCCATAACCAGCTAGATTCCCTGACAGCAGTGGTCCTTGAAAACAGAAGAGAATTAGAACTCCTCACAGCAGGAAAAGGAGGCCCATGCCTATTTTTGGAGGAAGCTTGCTGCCTCTATGCCAATAAATCAGGCATTGTAAAGGAAGCAGGATTTAAGAATCAAGAATCAAGCTGGATTTAGAAAGGGCAGAGGAACCAGAGATCAAATTGCCAACATCTGCTGGATTATGGAAAAAGCAAGAGAGTTCCAGAAAAACATCTACATTTGCTTTACTGACCACACCAAAGCCTTTGACTGTGTGGATCACAACAAACTATGGAAAACTCTTAAAGAGATGGGAATACCAGACCACCTGACCTGCCTCTTGAGAAATCTGTATGCAAGTCAAGGAGAAACAGTTAAAACTGGACATGGAACAACAGACTGGTTCCAAATTGGGAAAGGACTATGTCAAGGCAGTATATTGTCACCCTGCTTTTTAAATTTATATGCAGAGTATATCATGTGAAATGCCAGGTTTGATGAAGCACTAGCTGGAATCAAGATTGCTGGGAGAAATATTAATAATCTCAGATATGCAGATTGAGAGAGTCATTTCCTAGGCAGGTTGATAAGAAATCTAGGGGTCCCCAAGGAGAGAGGGGTTTGGAATTCTCAAAGACGAAGAAAGGACAAACTTTTCCCCCTCTACATTCCTTAGGATCATATAACAGTAATGTATCGTACTTGAGGACAGTCTCTGGAAAATAGCTTCTGGCTAATCCTGTTATCTTAAAATATAAATTATGGGAGTAGATCTAGTGAGGTCTTTACAACTTCCAGACATTCTTTTGATTCAGTGTAATAACTAATTGGATAGTATATAACTCCACTGCTAACACTAGCAAGGGGGTACTCTTTCTGCCCCCTTCTGATGCCTATGTCAGAAGCTTTCTCTATCTCATTTATACTTTAATAAAACTTTATTATACAAAAGCTCTGAGTGATCAAGCCTCGTCTCTGGCCCCAGATTGAATCCTTCTCCTCCAGAGGCCAAGAATCCCAGCATCTTTTTGTGGTTCAGCAACAACCTTTCAAGATGACACCACCATTATGGCAGAAAGCGAAGAAGAACTAAAGAGCCTCTTGATGAAAGTGAAAGAGAAGAGTGAAAAAGTTGGCTTAAAATTCAATATTCAGAAAACTAATGTCATGGCACCTGGTCTCATCACTTCAAGGCAAATAGATGGGGAATCAATGGAAACAGTGACAGACTTTATTTTGGGGGGCTCCAAAATCACTGCAGATGGTTACTGCAGCTATGAAATTAAAAGATACTTACCCCCTGAAGGAAAAGATATGATCAACTTAGACAGCATATTTGAAAGCAGAAACATTATTTTACCAACAGAGGTCCATCTAGTCAAAGTTTTGGTTTTTCTAGTAGTCATGTATGGATGTGAGAGTTGGACTATAAAGAAAGTTGAGCCCTGAAGAACTGATGCTTTTTAACTGTGGTGTTGGAGAAGACTGTTGAGAGTCCCTTGGACTGGAAGAAGATCCAACCAGTCAATCCTAAAAGAATTCGTCCTGAATATTCTGAAGCCGAAACTCCAATACTTTGGCCACCTGATGCAAAAAACGGACTCATTGGAAAAGACCCTGATGCTGGGAAGGATTGAAGGTAGGAAGAGAAGGGGACAACAGAGGGTGAGATGGTTGGATGCCATCACCGACACGATGGACATGAGTTTGAGTAGGCTCTGGGAGTTGACGATGGACAGGAAAACATTATTTTACCAACAGAGGTCCATCTAGTCAAAGTTTTGGTTTTTCTAGTAGTCATGTATGGATGTGAGAGTTGGACTATAAAGAAAGTTGAGCCCTGAAGAACTGATGCTTTTTAACTGTGGTGTTGGAGAAGACTGTTGAGAGTCCCTTGGACTGGAAGGAGATCCAACCAGTCAATCCTAAAAGAATTAGTCCTGAATATTCTGAAGCCGAAACTCCAATACTTTGGCCACCTGATGCAAAAAATGGACTCATTGGAAAAGACCCTGATGCTGGGAAGGATTGAAGGTAGGAAGAGAAGGGGACAACAGAGGGTGAGATGGTTGGATGCCATCACCGACACAATGGACATGAGTTTGAGTAGGCTCTGGGAGTTGATGATGGACAGGAAAGCCTGGCATGCTGCAACCCATGGGGTTGCAAAGAGTTGTTCTCGACTTGGCAACTGAACTGAACAGAAAGGCAGCAGCAAAAATGACAGAGGTCCTCGAGAATACCTCAACACCTCAGTAACTCATGGGAAAACTGGTTAAGCTATTGGAATTGGATACTCTGAGTCCTGCCTTTTCCAGGCTCACTTCTTCTCCTTACTCTTATTCTAACTTATGACCTATGTTTAATGCTCTTTTTTCAAAATTTCTTCAGCACCCCTTACAAGCCTTCACCAACCGAACTATCCACAAACTACTTCTGACTCACTCAGATTATCAGAAGCTTCAACCCCACACAAAGCCCTTTGACCCACACCCCGCCCTTTTCTTATCTCACCCCATGATGCCCCTGTCCCACAGGAAGCAATTATGGAAGATTGACCTTTGGCCCTTATCCTAAATGAAAAAAGTTGGAATGATAGGGCCCTCATGGGGTCTCATTGTTAAGATGGCTCATTATGTTGACCTTGCAAACAAAGAATAAAACCACAGTGATCCTTGAGACTAACCAAATTGCCCAAATGATATTCTGTTTTCTCACTGGTGCTTACCTACTCAAAGCTACGAGACCACCAGATTCCAGACCTCTGCTTACATGACCACAGATCTCAACTACGGGCTAAAAATTAGCAATCCCTTCAGAGAATTTTTCATTGGTGCAGTATAAGAAAGACCTCGTCAGAAAGGGAGGATGCTGGTTATCCTTAAGGGCTAGTCACTGTCTTGTTTCCCTCTAAATTTCCCTTTTCTTGCCTGACTTCCCGGCTTGCTCTCTTTTCCTCAGCACTCACCTTACACTTAGGTGCATTTTGGAATTCAAAAACAATTTAGCAATTTAAAAAGCTAAGTTTTTAAATATTTCTGTGCACTACCTACTACTATTAAAACTATGAGAATTGAAAGTATTTTTTCAAAAATAAGGTCTAGATCAGCATTTCTCAATAGAAAGATAATGCAGGGTCTTTCCTGGTGGTCCAGTTGTTAAGACACCACCAGTGTAAGAAGTGTAGATGTGAACACTGGCTGAGGAAAAAAGATCCCACATGCCACATGGTCAAAAAGTTAAAAAGAAAAAAAAATTTAGAAAAGGAAAGATAATATGGTCACATGAGTGATTAATGTCCTAGAAGCCCATTTTTTTCTGTAATCAATTTAATACTGTATTTAAGTTGGTATATACAAAAACTTACATTTTAAGATATAATGGTGTAAAAATCCCTATGAAGCAATTTGTGCTTTTTTGTACAAATCTTTGAAATTAATAATGCATTTATATTTACAGTACACCTCAAATCATACTACATTTCAAGTGCTAAGTGACCACACAAGGCTAGTGGCTGTAGTATTGGACAGATGGGTCTAGAATATAATTTTTTTTAAAAAATCAAAGTTGACTGTCAAATAATTGCCCCCTTTTAAAGAAGGGCACCATTAACACAAAAGTGGCACAAACAGCACTTAATCACAAGTCAAATACATTTTGTTTCATTGCCAGGTCTAACACAGTGTACCATCTGATTCATCAAAGAGGATCTCTGAGCTCATGTTTTAACCTGTAAAAAAAAAAAAAAATACTTCTAAGAATCATCATGCAAATTAAATAAGACATTTCGTGCATTGTCCATTGTGTATAAAAATATTTCTGGTATTAAAATTCCTGTCTTAGAGGCCAATGATGTCATAGACTAATTCACACATTAGACACTGAGTGACTTAAATAAGCAAAGTGGACACTACACATCTGAGTCTAAGATAGGTGTCCACAGGTTCTTCTCTTCACTCCTGTGGCTTGATGGCCTGCAAACATCAGAACCGCTAGCTTACGGGAAAATCAGGAATTAATTTAGAACCTGTTTGTTTTAATTCCTATACAACATGAACATTGTGACTGTGAAACTCACCTTCCTCCTCTGAAACTAGCTGAGTAACTTTTCTTTCCCTGTTCTCATCACTTTAAGAGCAAAGATGTCATTTGTTCCTTTTCTTCTTTAAGCTAAGAAAAAGCAGGTTTAAATGAATGTGATTTCTGTTCTCAGTTCAAGTATTTTATGCATAGAAATATAAAACCAAGTGTTCCTCAAGACATTCTGACCTCTGTGGTTTAGTGGGCTGAATATTTGTAAGAATATATCCTATAATATTCTCTTTACATGCAGAAACTTGCATAATATCATCACATTTCCAGAACAATGTAATTAACATAGCCCCATATTATATATATATTTAGAACACAATGATGAAGAAATACGTAAAGAAAAGAGTGTAATATTCTTAAAGGAATTATTTTAAACTATAGTGGTAGATTTCCAGTCACATTTTTAAATAAGATGTGGATAAAGCTTTAATTTTAAAAAAAGAACAATTCAAATATTATATAAATTTATTCCTACTCCAAACTTATTTAAAGCCATTCTTTTTACCTTAAAAAATTTTATTGACATGTAGTTGATTTACAATGTTGTATCAGTTTCAAGTGTACAGCAAAGTTATTCAGTTATATATATGTCTGTATATATGTATTCTCTTTTAGATTCTTTTCCTTCANGTGTGTGTGTGTGACTGTCTCACCACACAAGTAGTTTGTTTAGAACTAAAATGTATTTGCAATTTGCTACAAAATTGCAATTTTTGCTATAAAATTGCAAAAATCAATAAATGTAATTCAAAGGCAAGGGCAAATATTCAAACTATCTCATATGCTTTTTGTTGAGGATGAGTCAGTTAAATGAGCTAAAGCAACGTCTTCACAGTTATGTCAGGTATCCCTCCCAATGTGGAAGGAGATAATCAAGGTGACTTGCTCTCTGTGCTAACTTATATCTGTTGAATTAAAGTGAGCTGAGCCCCTATACATAATTGTAAACATGTTTTCTGACTTAAAATGATTATTTCAAATGTATCAAATCCTTCTCTGTGGTGCACAGCACATTATTGATCTTATTCTCATACTGATTACATAATTTATTTTCCACCACTGGCATGGTGTAGTCATCCCCCAAAATACTAAAGGGCACATGTACCTCTAGGAGATATTTTTCTTTAATCCTTAAACAGAAAATAACATAGGATTTGGATTATTAGGATAACATGTGAAATAACATGTGAAAATTAACTTGGCTGCTTTGGGGATATCAATATAGAAGATTTTATTGACTTATACCTGTCACTCTCCTTTGCTTCCTTGGGGAAAGCTTCTGGAATGGAATAAATCTTAGAGATCAAGAAGTTACACAGAGAGACAAGCATTAAGTGTAAACACAGAGAATGATTTGTCTGCCATCTCTCTTCTTCCTCTTTTCCTTTATCCAAAAGCCATGATTTAGGTGCTGTCTCAAGGTAGAGGAAAGGAGAATGTTTAAAGTCATGTGAGCTAGTGAAAAGCCTGGACACTAGAGTGGTAGCTTTGTCTTTTCATCTTGTTTTTCAACTTTTTAGCTCTTTTTAAGGTATGACTTTCTGAAGCTTTCTGTTGGGGCATTCAGGTTTGGAAAGAACCGCTGCTCCCTCCAAACCCCGCTCTCACTGTCTAAGTACAAGCCACCGGGGAAAGTCCCCGCTCCACCACCACGCACAGTGCCTGGCAGCCCCCGTGGGCACGCTGGGCTTGCTGCTTCTCCTCCAGACACGGCTGCTTTAGCCTGAAGGGAGCCCTGGTCGGTGGAGTGAAGGCGTGTTCTTACCCTTGGTCTGCGTGACTGTTATGCTTTGCTGGTGTTTATCCAACAAATGGTAATGTGAAGCAACATCTTGTAGAGATTTCTACCAAAATCAAATGTGGGTTTTCAGATCCCTCAAATACTGTGAAAATGCAAAAGGAAATGGTTCAGAGTCCATTCTCAGTGAGAGCTTCACACTGTCCTCAGGTTTTATCTGTCAGAGGGGACATAGAGCTAAAGTGGCTCCCTCTAACCCCAGTTGTCTGATTACGCAAATCTGGGGTGGGAAAATGAAATTTTTTTATTTCAGTAGCATTCCAGAAAGGTACATAATCAAGAAATCCTGGACTAGAATGTAGTGAAACGCCACAGCCCAGTTCTGCACAGGAGTCTGTCCTGAAGGTCAAAGTCCACGCCTCAGAAAGACATCTGATGAAGAAGGGGATGGGGAAGCCAAGTGATGTGAAAAGTATCTGAGTGCAAGTACAGACATAGACCACAGAGATGCTGCATAGAGACTCCCGACCCGTAAACACTGTGGTCATCACCTCCGCTAACTTCCAACAGGCAGAAGGGGATCTTCTGCCCATGCATGTGAGCCCCAGGGTTCGGGTTGACCCTCCGTGACTTTCTCTTCAAGATGTCAGGAGGAGCTGTTTCAGCTCCTGGGATCATGATAAAGTGTTGCCTAGAATACATATCCCACGGGCAGGAATCAGACCATCCAGGTCTCAAATAGTGAGGAGTATTAGCCTATGGTCTCTCACTCCCAAGCGGAAAGGTATTCTGAGTAGAGTAGAGGAAGGTAGCTATCATACTTTCATTTTGAAATAAAGGAAAACAAATATCCAGGAAAGAGACCCAGAAACAACACAGTCCCACACTTGTCCACGACACCGCAACCCAGGGGATGGAGTCTTAGGGGGTACTCTCGTCTTGAAACTAGATCACAGAAGCACCTAATCAAGCTCATAAGTGACACAGACACTGCTTTAGATGAATAATTATTCCATTTTTCTTTTTTATCTCCAGAGTTCCTAGTGTTTAGTAAAAGATTCTGCTTTTTGAGGGAAGTGGGAGAGGAGCTGGGCTCCAGGGAGGTGGGGGTGAGGGAGGCAGAGAAGGGCAGAGAAGGGAGGCCCAGGTGGTCTGGGCACTGACCTTCCTGTCCCACTGAGAACCTGCATTCATTCCTGCCCTCAGGTGTGTGAGAGGAGCTGGTTCCTTTCTTTCTTTTTAAAAATAATTCATTTATTTTATTTACGGCTGTTCTGGGTCTTTGTTGCTGCANAATTATGAGTGGGCATTCTCTTTTGTGATGCTAGCTAGCTGACATCTCACATAGTGATCCAAATACCTTGTGCATTTCATTGATCCCTATCTAATGTTCATCAATCCTGGAACATATAATCCTAATGTCTTCTATCATAAATGTCTAACTTCTTTCAGATCCTCTAGTGGCTCCTATATCTGATAGTGTTCTCTGTGAGTGACATCATACCTCCTTCTGTATCTGGATCCTCTTTCAAGGCCTCTAGGCCCTAGGTGCTTCCACAGCAGTAGGTCTCAGGGTCAAGGGTCAGACCAAGATGATTCCATGGCAGTTGGCAGCCGTGACGACAGACTAGCCTAAGTGGAGGAGTGGGGAACAGTGGGATTTATCCTCTCTGTTTCATAAGTTACTTCAGCTTCTGCCACTGCCAATGTGTCAGCAATCACTAAAAGTTAGATTTTTGCCCTCTTTCTTGTGACTAATCATATCTGAGAAGAAGCACGTGAGATATTGGTTATGGTCTCTGCTTAAAATCTCCAATCTCAATGGTGTGCACACTTGTCAGAAAGGTTGAGGCCACCAACCTGTTCTTGTCCTCCTGGATCTTAGTCTTCTTGGCTGTAGGAATCACCATAGAGGAATGGACTGTACTGAAGTTGGGACCCCAAGACCCTATAATCAGCCACAGTCCGTGGATATGTTGTACTTCCCTGTGGCCAGCAGGTCAGAGTTATACTATGGAAAGAGATGGGTAGAGCATGAGGGTTCAATTGCTTCTCGGCCTTTTGGCTAAGATCAAGTGGAGAATGAGGGTTCATCCTTCCTCGACTTCCATTCATCTCACCATTATCCTCTAGTGCAACCACCTGTGGTTGCAGTGTGCCCACTTCCATAATCAACACAGTCAAGGCCTACCCCAAAAGCTCAGGATTAGCATGTTTTGGAGAAAGGTTTAGAAGCTCACAGACTTAACTGATGGATCTCTGAGAAGCCCTGATAGTAACAACAGGGTATCTAGCACATCTAGAATGTGAGGATATAAAAGAAAGGTGACTGGCAGCAAAGAAAACTTGTTACATTGCCACTAGAGGAAGACAGAAGTGTTTAGCAAGAAATACATTTTGAAAAAATAGAAGAGAAAGAAGTTTACAGAGATACAAAGATAGAGAACAATTTCTTTTGGTTCCATCTCCCATTTAGCTTAAGACCCCTGCCTCTTTCTTGCCCTATCTCTGCTCTTTATTATTTAATCAAATGTTTCACCTCATTCATGTTTACCTAGAGATTTGTGTGCCCCAAGTAGAAATGAGCCAGAAGAAATATCTGTCCTCCTCTCAATACAGCTTCTTCTTTTCAACAGATGGCCTGGAAGTGGTCAGGAATATTCTGATTGTGGTGGTCAGCCTTTCCTTCATGCATAATTTGCTTCTGGGTTTTGAATTCACCTATATGATTCCTCAAACCAAATATACTCTCATTATGACTGCCTGCCTCGCTTTCCTCACAGGTAACTTCCTTTCTTCAGTCACAGGTAACTTCCTGTCTTCCCTAACATAGGATTGGAGGCATACTTGGTTTGTAGGTCCAGGCTGTGGTCTCTGTCTAACTCAGCCTTCCCAGTTCTTTGGCTTAGATATGTAGCTGCCAAATTGGATCCACCATTCAAGTGGCATTGGCCTTTGGAGAAGGTTCACTTGTGCGTGCTAGGGGTTTGGAAGTCAAGCATATCTCAGGTTAAGACTTAAATACGAGAGCCAGGGTCTGTCAGAAGGAATTTTTCTTTCTCCTTTTGTCCGGACATCAGGCATCCTTCTGCTCAGTGCACTCCTCCTGTATCACCACATGCTAAATCAAGGTAAATTCGTGTACTACTTGAGTTACAAGATCTGCTGGATCAATTTCACTGCATACTTAAATGCTGTATTGTTATTCGCCTCTGGTAAGTGTCTTCAGGGCCCTTGATGGGAGCTAAGAGCAAATCCATCTCTGATAGGCAGGAGAGTGAAAGGATGGGAAAAGAAGATAGAGGGAAAGTTACCAACCTTTGCGTTTTGAAGGGCCAGTGGGGGAGTTAGACTCACTCTGAGGATGGTTCCTGCAAGGATGTGGGCTGAGTGAGATGTTCAATATGCTTGCCTCCAAGGGAACCCTTCCTTTCCACCTTTTCTTTCATACCTGCCCCATTCAGAGTGGAGATAACCGCTAACTTTAAGACTAAAAAGAGTGACTGATAGGGAATGTTCACTCATGTGGAGGCAGTGGCCCTGGGGGCATATTGGCATGCCAGGACAGCCTGAGGGCAGACAGAATCAGTGTCTGATGCACAGTGACCACCTACAAACACCAGGGACTCTTCTAAGAAGTCTTTAAAGTTTCCCTTGGAATTAAACTTCCTAACTCAGAAGCATGGCCTCTGTTGGAAAGAATTCTCAACTGTGTTGAGTTGAGCACTTCTGTGTGTGCTCAGGCACTCAGTCATATCCAGCTCTTCCAAGACCCCATGGACTGCCAGGTTCCTCTGGCCATGAGATTTTCAGGCAAGAGTACTGGAGTGGGTTGCCATTTCCTTTTCCAGGGAAGCTTCCCGATAAAGGGATTGAACTCGGGTATCCCGCATTGTAGGCAGATGCTTTTACTGTCTGAGCCACCAGCACTCTCCTGCTAAAGCATCCCCCTCCTGAATGGCTTGGGCCAGTTCAAAGGGAACCATTAGGCTTTAGATCTGGGCCTCATGGATCACAGGGAGGGAAGTGTTTCTGTGACTTTTCTATTGTTCCTTCATCACCCTCCCCTGGCTTCTTTTTTTCCCAGGATTTCTCTCTCTCTTACAGTACAAGCAGTCCACCAATGGTTCTGGCAGCCTGATCACCATCCGCAAATCTGCCAGAGAAAGTCAAGTTATGGAACAACATGTAGTTTCTATCAAAGTTGTCTCATTACCAGCAGGTACTGCAATGCCTCATAGTATTGTCCGGGTACACTCTGCCCACGTGAAAGAAGATTCTCCAAAAAGACCACACGTCCAAGCGCGTCGTGTAACCTGGGCTCTATGATTTGACAATTTATCTTTCAGTATATGTTCATCTTAATGGCAACAGCTTGTGCATGTGTGGTGTGTGAAGGTCCAGCTGTATGGTCTGGTTTGGAATTATATAAATGACTATAACTGGATTGGGGTCTATAAGAAGATCCAGAAGAAACTTTAAAAAAATTGTTTTACCCTGACCAGCTTTTATTTGTTCTCACCATTTAATA